AAACGGATACTAGTGACCGATGACTCATCTGCGCCGTCTTCGCTTTTCCTTGTTCGTCAGCGCAAGACCGTCAGCCCAACAACAAGCGGTATTTTCCTATTGGTTGTTGTGGTCCCCTCTCTTGGTCTCGAACCCAAGGTTAAACCTGGCAGATATATTTCCATGGTTCATCGGCAATATTATCAGTAAGTTTCTCATAGCTTTTTTTGTCAAGAGAACGATCCACTGTTTGTAGACTCAATGAAGGCCTTCAGGGATTGCACAGGCATGACTGAAAAGAACATGGTGGTTGAGAAAGCCGTTTCTTTTATTAATAAGAGTCAAATCGATACAAATAAAAGATAAATGCCGCCATCTGCCTTGATAAGCCTGGATCTCACATTCTGCTTATCCTACGATTGCAGTGAAAGTAACACAAACAAAACCTTTCTCAATATGATTTTGGGGTCACTATGAACATTTGCATAAATTTCGATGTCTTTTACATATTTACTATACAAAAGGACACTCTGAAGGAAAGAGCAGTTCATGCAGTTTCGTGACCTTCAGGAAGTGACGCTTGAGGCAAACATTAACTACCAGATGATTCACCGTATGCCATTATCGCAATTCAAGGTTTCTTGCTTGAGGAGTACTGTTAAAAAGCTGATTAAATAAAAGTCTATTCTCTCGGTTCTGCATGCAAATATTCAAAACATTGATCTCCTGAATCCTCCTCAAGGAAAAACGGACGATTAGGGTATTCCAATGTTGAGTACATAATTAGTTCGTTGGTGATGCTGACTGACCCATGCCAATTTTGGGTCAGTGTCGCATAGGCCCTTTTCAAAGTAAATTATTGGGTGAGTTTCAAAATCCGTTCTTGTCTTCTGAACTAATTAGTCACTCGTGCGACAAAGTCAGCCCTAACACAGGATATGATCACCGCATGGATTGTATCAGCCCGTCGCCAAGACACTACTTGGCAGTAGCACGAACTACTGCAAACGAGGAGAAAGATTTCCAAGACTCAGCCATTTATCTACCTTACAGAAGGTCCGTGAGGCAGGAATTAAAACGTCGTATTGGTCAACTATCCGATTGACCAAATTATTTGCGTTGTGTACGCACATGCTGTTGTTGTGCTATATTTTGAATCAACAAGGCAAGGACTGGCATTTATTTTGATGTAGGCATTAATTAACCACATAAATGTATCATAAACCTTAGAGCGGTGGATCAACAAGGCAATGCTACTCATTGACTGACAAAACCCAATACGGGGTTGTTTGTTCTGATCGTTCGAATTTATCCGTTTGCATTGGCAACGCATCTTTGATTTGTGGGGTCCACCGCATACATGGTTTTTCAAAGTTAGCCTGTTGCATTGTGGAATGCAACTTCTCTCAGAATGCTTGTGTCTAAGTACAAATATATATTTGTATGGATGTATATGCGTGCATATATGTGTACATATTTGTAAAATTTTAGGATTTGCAGGTCAAAAAGACTGATGCAGCTTGAGAGGTAATTTTTAAAAAGCATTAATTCCTTCTCTGATTCCAAAGGTGAATATTTTCGTTCATGTTGCACCCCTTTGATTTCTAAGCAGTTCAACATGTCTTTGTAGGTAATGAGTACCAGAGGCTCGACAGTTCTGTTTCTTGTACTTTTCTGTGATTCACTGTCAGCGAACAACTGCTCCAAACAGACCTTGCCCTGCAAAGACGGCCTCCTGATTCCGTTATGGCGGCCGGCGTTTGACATAGGCATATACGATCGGATCCTTCGCTCGGTCGTCTACCTGCTTTCAATGCTTTACCTGTTTCTTGGCGTATCGATGGCCGCTGACCGTTTCATGGCCGCCATTGAGGTGATTACCTCACAGGAAAGAAACGTGTCTGTCCGACGACCGGATGGCTCAAAGTTGACCGTCAAGGTACGTGTGTGGAACGATACCGTCTCGAACCTGACCTTGATGGCGCTGGGATCGTCGGCGCCCGAGATCCTGCTGTCCGTCATCGAGATATGCGGCAATCGGTTCGAGGCGGGCGAACTCGGTCCCAATACAATCGTCGGCAGCGCCGCCTTCAACCTGTTTATGATCATTGCCATTTGCATCTACGCGGTGCCGTCCACCGAGGTTCGTCGACAGCAGCACTTGGACGTTTTCATGGTCACCGCGGTGTGGAGCATTTTCGCCTACATTTGGCTGTACCTGATCATCGCCGTTTTTAGCCCAGGTGAGGTGCAGGTGTGGGAGGGAGTAGTCACTTTCCTGTTTTTTCCAATTACTGTGTTGACAGCATACGTGGTGGACAAAAAAATGATTCAGAAGAAGTTTAAGAACGTCCGTTACCGTGCGAACCAGTTCGGTTTGCATGCCATGACACAATCGCAGGTCTACAAGAACGCCGAGAAATCCTCCGCACTCCTGCCTCAGGGGAACCTCACTTCAGAGGAACGCACGTTTGAGGAACAACGTAGAGAATTCCTCAAAATATTAACCCAGCTGAGGAAGGACTGCCGGGATGCAGACATGGAAACGCTTGAGAAAATGGCGGCTTTCCAGATGATTCACAAATGCAAGAAAAGCAGAGCGTTTTACAGGGTGCAGGTGATCAGAAAATTAACCGGTTCCGGAGACGTGGTAAAAAGCCATTTGCTGAAACAAATGAACCAAAAGAAGACGTCAGAGAAGCGGTCGGTAAACTCGAATGATCACTGTGTCGTCTACTTCAAGCCGTGCCACTATAATGTAATGGAAAACATCGGCAGCTTCAACTTGACCGTTGTAAGGGAAGGTGGACTGCCGGACATAACCGTTGCTTTCGACTACTTTACCAAAGACGGGACTGCAAAGGCTGAATCCGACTATAAATCCGCTAATGGAACCGTAACCATGGGACCTGGACAAACAACGGCTACAATACCTATCACCATCATTGATGATGACGTATTCGAAGAGGACGAGCACTTTTTCGTCTACCTAAGTAATCAATTATTGTTATTAATGAACAGGAATAATCGGGTTTCGACCCCCCGTCGTCACTGAGATCGCATTTATTGAATGAAAATGTGAGATGAGCACTAACGAAATGCTATTGGCTCATTTGCATAAATAACCACCTTATTCAACAGTTAACATATCTCTTTGTACTCTCATTCATCACATTTTATTTACTGTGTATCTAGTTTTTATTTCACATATTCTTCCCTTATGTTTTTATTCATTCCTGCTAGATAGTTATTTCTTCTTCAAAATTTTGTTTTTCACCAACGTTGCTATTGGGAATTGTGAAATGTGTCATTATTCCGAATTGTTCAACGATGCTTAATGCTCGCCTAACTTCCATGCTCCATAGAGACCATTTAAGCAGATCGCAGCTCCATGTTATTGAAGGATCGGCAGGGCGTAGTTGCGATGCTGCCTCTCTGAGTAGGGTATGAACAACACACGTGC